CAATTAGATTATAGAAATATATAAATAACGCTTTTATTTGAAAAAAATATATTTTAGCTTATTAAAAAATACATAAAAATATTTTCAATTATTTCGAATATTTTTTAAATTTCGATAGAAATTTCGAATTCGACATAATTTCAAATGGAGTTTCGGATTTTGAATCTTAAAAAAATTTCGGCCACAAGCATAAACACTAAAGGTGTAGAAATTTAGAATCTTGAGCCCTGGCAAAAATAGCAACGTCTTTCATGATATATGTTATCTATACTAATTTATGCAACACTACCGTAAAACTAAGTTCATGCGTAGATCTTTTTTTTTAATAATAATTAAAGCAAGCATCCTTAATCAGATTCGTTAACGATTTATCATAGCATTTTCATATAGAGCACTTATTATAATGAAATATATACCATGCTTAACTGTTAATAATAATATATATACTATACGTAGTATATATATTATATAATTATCGCCTAGCACTTTTCTGATTACGTAACTTACAGATGCATGCAAAAAAATAAAGTTAAATCTCGTGATTCTGTGTTTGTTTTATAATTCGCGTCTAACCTGTGCTTTTACAACTTGCATAATGTCATGTCAAGTAGAAAATATAGAAATAATGAAAATAATAAAAATGAACATGTAGTTATTATTTTTTTTTTGTAGTATATTTGACAAGATAGTTTATCTTTAGTTGAGAATATTAAAAACTTTGAGAAAGAGTGCCTGAGGGCATCCCGTTAGTGAAAAAAAAAAAAAGAGAAAAAAAAAGATGTTGAGAAAAGACATCCCGTTAGTGAAATTTTAAGAAAGATTGGGGTTGCTCAGCGTAGGTGCATTTCGGATTGATCTTGGGCCACAAAAGATAAGCAATCTAAAGGTGTTTCTTGTTGATAGGGCCGTTCAAAGTTAATTCTTCGGCTAACATCACCTTTAGAACATATAAAAATGGGCCAATTTCATTGGCTGACGTTATCCAGCGGTTTGATTGGTTGTTCATTTTTTGGGGGTGATATTGACCGAAGAATCAACTTCGAACGGCCTAAGTACTACTTTTCCGAAAAAGGATTAGTTACGTGCCTTCCTTATCATCAAAAAAAATTTGTTTCTTTATATTGCTATTAAAAAATATTACTACTTAATAAATACTTGGAAAAGGTTGGCATTTTCTATTACTATATTACCGTAAAATATGGAAAATAAACACAGCACCCTCTACCCTACTTTTTTTCAATTTCAGATTAACGGGAATAACTTGATTAAAGAATTTATTGCTATTTCCGCTAATCTGAAATTGAAAAAAGTAGGGTAGAGGTGCTGTGCTTATTTTCCATATTTTACGGTAATTAATTTTTATTTATTTATTTTATACTATAGTGATCCGCTATCGATAAAAATAATCTGGAACTTACAAGATATCAAAAATATTAAATAATCAAAAGAAAATGAACCAAATAAATCAATTCAGGCATTACAATTCAAATTAGGTAGCTAGGCCGCCGCGTATAGTTTTTTTATGATTTATTAAATTAAATTATTTATATTAAAAATACTGTACTTTCTAATAAAAATACTGTATTATCGTTACGAGACATACATCACAGATTCTGATTTCCGAAATAATAACAACATATGATCCAAGAAATATGGAATAAAGCCATTGGACAACTTGAAGAAACAACACCAAATAGAAAAATTTTTGTTCGCAACAATACTACGTATACTTAACATGGAGGAATTACAATATTTGCATATTTAATTTGGAGGAATTATTAGCAATTTTAAAATCTATTAAAAATATACTTTTTTGTTTGTTTTTTGAGAAAGAAAATATTACTTTTATTTATATACAGTAGTATAGTAACATCTTTTGCAATGTTCATTGCCACTACCATTGTAACATTTTCAAAACATTTAATTGCTAAATTCATAATAACGATACTTGGAATATTTGATTATGAATCAAGAGGCTGACTCTTGTTTACATTGACTAGCACTGTACCCGGGTACCGAAACGGGGATACATTGTTTGAACTGCTATATACATACGTACTATATATATATGTGCGTATACGTATAGAAATCCGGGTACTTCTCTTTGAAGTATACAATGTATAGTACCCGGATCTAAGCTGATAAAAATTTACTATAAAGTATGGCATTTTTGATTAGATTTTAATTGGCTTGATATTGTTGTAAATTTTAACGAATTTTAGAAATTTAATGAATAAAAATTCTAAAAATAAATAACATTTAGGAGGAATTTTATAATCTTCATAATTGTTTATTAAACGCTTGTATTTAAATTGAATTTCTTAATAATTTTTTCACGAAAGTTTAAAGCTTAGTTATCATAAGAATTTATACCGATACTAACGCCAAATAAGTTCAAAAATTTTATATGATCCAATCAAATAATTCGACATAATACTGGAAAATTTATGGTTCGATAAAATCCAAGAATAAATATAAACTTACAGTATACCGATACGTATTAAAAAAGTATACTTATATGGAATAGGCTCCGTTTTTACTATATATATATTGATATATATATTGATATACATAATACATCTTAAATTCTTTTTTTTTTTATACGTAGCCGAAAAAAACTATATTATTGTAATCCAAAATCTTTTAAACTTCTTCTTCGAAGAGGTATAACATTTATAACATATATCTGAGTGCTTTAATTTATAATCGAAAACTATAATCACTTATTTTCCCGCAATCGGTTATTTTTTTTACACCTTACAATATTAACTATTCGTTTTTTAAACTGCACTACTACACGGTAACCATAGTATTTATTGCTTATACATTAAATACCTCCATTTTGTATTTTTTCACCAGTAATCATAAATTCTTATTATTTTATTAATCTCATAAATTTATTAATTCGGCTCGAGCTCGAATAGATCGAATTTAACCAATCAACATTAAACTCAAAGCTCACAGCTTTCAATCTAAGTGAATCGTTTTAATTAAATATGCATAATCAAGGTCTGATTTTGTTCGCAAAGTCTATATCTTTATCTTCAAGGGTATTTCGAAGATCGTTTTATCACAGGCGATGTTATAGTTCTCTTGGCAATGGCAATTGTATGTATAATATATTTATTCGTAATCAGGAAGTAATAGAAAGGAAGTTAATAGTTAAAAATGGTGCAATAATCACGGCTATTTTTTATATATATACAAACCTCATGAAAAACGTTATATAAAAATTTAATTTTGTAATTTAAATTGAAATAAAGCTTTAAAATAAGTTCACAAATAAGTTCCATAATATTGAATTCGTTATATTTAATATTATACGTATACTATAGATATCATATTATTATTAATAATTCGTCACGGATTAAATATTAATTGAAAACCTGTTAATAATTTTCTATAATATATTAACTTAAAATAATTGCAGACCTCCCCAATCTTCCATTATTTACTCAAATTTCCCATCACGCTGAAACACAATCTAAACAGAAATCTGCAATTATTGATGTCAAAGCTGGAACATCTCATTCTTATCGTCATCTAGTTTCAGATATAGTAGGATTAAGAACACAGTTGTTAAAAAATGCGGGTACATCTATTGAAGATTTAAAAGAGGCACGAGTTGCTTTTTTATGTCCAAATGGATATGATTATGTCGTATCTCAATGTTCAGTCTGGTCTGCTGGTGGAATTGCAGTTCCATTATGTAAATTTTAACTTTACAAATATTCGAGAAATTACTCTTTTTGTAACTTTTATTAAGCAGTCATTCACTTTTATATTTTTATTGTTAAAGGTATAACACATCCACCATCTGAACTTTTATATGTTTTGAATGATTCTCAGTCAACAATAATGATCGCACATTCGGATTTTCAAGAAAAAGTAAATAATATTGCTCGTGAAGCAGGTATTAAAAAGGTTATCACAGTCTGTGATAAAGATCAAAAATATAGTCAATATGATGGTACCAATTATAAAGTATGTGTTTTTTTCATTTGGATATAATTAAAATGTGGTTAATTTTATTTATTTAATTTTTTTATAGCCTCCATCATTGATCCCAATGGATGATTCACGTCGTGCAATGATAATTTACACTAGCGGAACAACCGGTAAAAAATTTTTTTGAATTTAGTTTTTAGAAACATATTTTAAAATTTTGGAAATACCTTTTTTTAAACCTGTTTTATTTAGGAAAGCCAAAGGGTGTGGTAACAACTCATGCAAACATTATTGCTCAAATTAAATCTCTTGTTGATGCATGGAGATGGAATAATAAAGATAAAATTTTACATGTATTACCTTTACATCATTTACATGTAAGTTTATAATATAAACTATTTATTATATTTGTTTTTATTCTTATTATTTTTTTTTTTATCAGCTATTTATTATATTTTAAAATAGGGTATTATTAATGCATTAACTTGTGGACTCTATGCAGGTGCCACTATTGAAATGATACCAAAATTTGATGCTGCCGCTGTATGGAATAGGTGGATGAAACCAGATAATGACCTTTCACTTTTCATGGCAGTGCCAACAATTTATTGTATTTTATTATTATTATTATTTTAATTAATTAAACAAAAAATAATTTTTTAAATATTAATGTAAATATCTTTATCGATATGTATATCTATTTTTTTTGTAGCAAAATTAATTCATTATTATAAAACCAATATTCCTAAAGAAATACAACCATTGGCTTCACAATCGTGTTCACAGTTTAGATTAATGGTTTCTGGATCATCAGCACTTCCAACTCCTACTAGAAATTCTTGGAAAGAAATTAGTGATGGAGTTGTGTTATTAGAAAGATATGGTATGACTGAGATGGGAATGGCGTTAAGTCATGAATATGATGTTGAAAAAAGATATGAGGTAATTACAATATCAATAATTTACAAATACTTTATTTATATAATATATAAGTATACGTATACTGTATTTCCTTTTTTTTATAGGGATGTGTTGGAGTACCTTTGCCAAATGTACAAGTGAGATTGATTTCAGAAGATGGTAAAGATGTTACTAGCTTGGTTGAACAACCAGGTGAATTGCATGTGAAAGGACCAAATGTGTTTAAAGAGTATGCTATAAAATATTTCCAGTAAATTTAATTATAGTCTTTATGTGCTATTATAGAGTCATTATGCTTAATTAATTATATATTTTCAACAGGTATTGGAATAGGCCTGAGGCTACTAAAAAGGAATTTACTGAAGATGGATGGTATAGTTAATTAAAATTACAAGTTTGTATTTTAGAATACTCGATTATAATTTTTTTTATTATTGTTTAAAAGGTTTAAAACAGGCGATATAGCCATGATAACGGCAAAAGAAAAGGTCTTCAAGATCCTTGGTAGACAAAGTGTCGATATTATTAAAGTATATTTTATGTGCCGTAAATTCTCGAAATAGCAAGCATGGGCGTTATTTCGAATTTTGGCCAGAATTAAGCTTAATTCGGGCCAAAATTCAAAATAGTGTTCATGCCCGCTATTTCGAGAATTTTTACGTATAATTAATTAGTATCATGTCAAGTAATACTATGCAATTTGATTAATATCTATTAATACATTCCTTTTTTTTTAAACAAAGAGTGGGTCATATAAGCTTTCAGCTTTAGAGATTGAGAAAGAATTATTATCGCATTCCGATATACAAGAAATTTCTATTGTAGGAGTTGAAGATCCAGAATGGGGACAAAAAGTTGGTGCGATAGTTGTTTTAAAAAATCAGGTAAATATTTATTTCATAGTAATATTAAAATAATTTTTTAAAAAAATAAAAATTTTTTAAAACCAAAAATTATCTTTGGTACAGGAATCAAAATTGGATTTAAAACAATTAAGAGAATTTGCAAAAGATAAATTAGCACATTATAAATTACCTACTTTATTAAAAGTTATAAATGAGATGCCAAAAAATGTTATGGGAAAAGTTAATAAGAAGGAGTTGGTTAAATTATTTGATGATTAACGCTAAAATTTTACTAAAAATTAAATGCACATGTCGTACTTGTAAATATAGTATCTGGAAAAATTTCGACTAATTAGTATAAATTTTAAAAAAGGTGGTTTATTACTACGATGACTAAAAACTCGATTCTGAGGGATTTTTTGGAGAATCTTCATTACTAGAAATACTTAAGTCATTTTGTCCAAACGTTACAAGTTACACTTTTTATACAGTATATAATTCAATAAAAAAAATAAAATAGTTTTCGAATAAAAAGATTTTATTAAAAACTTAAATAAGAGTGGTAGAAAAATTTGGTCAATTGAAAAGTTTACGAATTATAAAGTTATAAAGTATTTTATTTAGCAATATAAAAGAAAAAAAACAGTAAATTGTTTTAATCAATCAAGATACAAGGAAGTTAAAGTAGTATTTGTACAAAGGATTTGTCTCAATCTAATCGAAACTTCAGGGTTAATTTGATTTTTTTTAAGATTTATGTCAGTCAAAGTAATATTCTTGCAAAGAGCATTTGCTAATGCTTCCCCCCCTGTAGAACCAATCCGATTGTTGTAAAGATTTAAAGATGTTAATTTAGAGTTTTTACAAAGTGCTGCCGCCAACGCTTTTCCACCCTCATAGCCAAGTTGATTAGAGCTAAGATTTAAAGAAGTGAGTGTTGTATTCTGGTAAAGAACCTCTGCTAATGCTTTACCCCCTTCTGAATCGATCTGATTATTGGATAGGTTCAAAAAAGTCAAAGTATTGTTCTTACAGAGAGCGTCCGCAAATGCTTTACCACCCTCGGAACCAATCCGATTATTACAAAAATCTAAAGAGGTCAACGTATTGTTCTTACTAAGAGCTTCCGCTAATGCCTTTCCTCCTTCGTATCCAAATTTGTTAAAACTGAGGTTTAAAGAAGTCAGGGTGGTATTCGTACCGAGAGCCTTTGATAATGCTTTTCCACCCTCAGAACCAATCTGATTATTACAAAGATCTAAGGAGGTTAGTGTGGTATTTTTACAAAGCGCCTCCGCTAACGCTTCTCCCCCTTCGGAGCCAAGTTGATTTGAGTAAAGTTCCAAGGAGGTTAGAGTAGAATTTTTGCAAAGAGCTTCCGCTAATGCTTTTCCTTCTTTAGAACCGAGTTGATTAGCTCCAAGATTTAAATAAGTTAGCGCATTGTTTTTATAGAAAGCTTCTGCCAACGTTTTTTCATCTTCAAAACTGATGTGATTATTACAGAGATCTAAAGTTTTTAAGGCAGTGTTTTTACAAAGAGCTTCTGCTAAAGCTTTCCCTCCTTCGACGCCAAGTTGATTAAAACTAAGATTTAACGAAGTTAGAGTAACGTTGTTACAAAGAGCTCTTGCTAACGCTTTTCCCTCTTGAAAGCCAAGTTGATTAACGCTAAGGTTCAAAGAAGTCAATGAAGTATTTTTCGAAAGAGCTTCTACCAACACCTTTCCATCGTCAAAACTAATCTGGTTACTACGAAGATCTAAAGAATTTAAGGCAGTATTTTTACAAAGTGATTCTACTAGCGCTTTTCCTCCTCCGTAGTCAAGCATATTACAACCAAGATTTAGAGAAGTGAGAGTTGAATTCTTACAAAGTGCTTCTGCTAGCGCTATTCCACCTTGAGAACAAATTTGATTATCGTGAAGACTTAAAGATTTTAATTTAGTATTCATGCAAAGAGCTTTCGCTAATGTCTTCACATTCTTAGAATTAATATCATTATATTCGAGATTCAAAGATGTCAAAGTATTCTTATTGTTGCAAAGAATTTTTGCTAAAGTTTCTACTGCATATGAATCGGAACCGTCCATAGAATAGTTGATAGTGGTAACCGTAGTATTTTTATGAAGATTTTCAAATACAATTCTATCAGACATAATTCCGTCGTAATTTAAATATTTCAGTTTCTTGCTTGTTCGTAAAAGCATAGCAACTAAAGAACACTTGATGGCGTTTACAACACAATAAGTTAATACAAGTTTTTCATGGTTAAGCCAACTTTCGATTCCTTCGTGTAAATTGTAATTGATGGATGTAATATATCTGGTGTATTCAAACAATGGTTTAGGAGAACTTGGAAGTCTACCATTAAGAGAGTATAATGGAGCTCTTTCTTTAGAGTTTAATGCTAAAAGAAGTATTTCTACGAGTCTTTTATCGTTGAAAGGGATCGTTTGTCCGCTCCATAAAATTGGTACTACAATTCTACACCATTGACGGTTTACGCGAAGGCATGAATATAAGTTACTGTGATTATTTCGGAAGTTGTTGAATATAATTACAAGACATTCGTTGGGTAATGATAACATTTTTGAAAAGTAAAAAGGAAAAAATTTTTATGATTTTCACTTTTTTGATATTACGTATGTTCTTATATACGTATTATATATTAATTGATAAAAAATTTTTAAAAAATGTCGTGAAACGTTGCAATAATGAGGTCTTAAAACAGCTTACTCCCATGAATTTTCCCACGTGTGATGATATCTCATGTTCGTGTAACATTACCCGTAGATCAATCACTGATCAATCGATATTCCCTCATGTTCGTGTAACATTACCCGTAGATCAATCGAGTATCAATCGATATTCTAAATATTACAATATTCACTAAATTACAGAATTAGTTTAGCTCACGATTTTTTTTTCAGTATGTACGTCATTTTAAATTCTACATACGTACCTGTATTTTTTTATAAAGATTATTGTGTTTCGAGTTTTGCTGATCTAATCCGAGAGATCCCGAATTCAAACAAAACGGATCGGAACTGAATCCGCTATTTTTAGCGTACTCCAGCTCAACTAAGCTGATATTTAAAAATCAATTACCATGAAATGAAATCTATATTAATTCAAATGAAGTTGAATAGTAATTTTTCATAAAATTGAATATATGGCTTATTATATATATATATATATATATACTTAGGTTTATAAATGTTCTTACAAGATAAACTAGTATAAAATGAAGTTAAATATATATATATATATATATATATTTATTAACTTGAACAGCGATAGTGCATAAAACGTCAACGGGAGGCCCGCGTCCAAGAATTCACCTCCATGTTGAACTATCTTCACCAAGCCAGCCTTGAACCCAGGACCTACGTATAACGATCTCATAACTTACGTATAACAATCCCATGCACTTAGCTGTAAGGATCCGCCGACAATCATTTCACCGCAACTCACTTAGCCGAAATCACGCCGGGTGACAATTTACTAATATATGGGGTTTTTGCCTTGAAAATGACCTTACGGTATCATGTACCGTAAGGTCATTTTCAAGGCAAAGACCCCATATACTTGCAACTAATAAAACACTAATCCTAACCCTATGTGACGTCGGCTAAGTGAACTTTCGGTGAAATGACTGTCGGTGAAGTGAGCAGTACCGAGCTGGGAAGCCAAATCAGGATGATACTGATATTTTCTTTAAAATCAATATTTGTATATATATATTTTTTGGTTGAAATTAATCTTGTGGTCATAGTATTTGTAGTCGACATAACGATAAATTTACCAACCGACTAATTATTCGTTGTATATGTATCCTGAATTTTTCAGTATTTATTTCCTATAGTATCACTTCTTATTGATCTAAATACATTTATTATTTGATTACATCGCTTATACACTATATCTCTAATGATATAAAGCATATTTGATATTACACAAGAAGGTATGACTCAGTATATATGCAAAAAAAAACTTTTTGTGAGAAATCAAAATTTCCATTATAGGCTAGGAACCCATCGCCAAGGAGTTCTTTCAACTTTTGATTTTCTTTTAGTTTTTTTACTTCTCCCTATCTTTGTACTTTTTTTTCAAAAAGAGCTGTAGATCCTTCGGGTTTCTTTAAATGTAATTGTCTATTAAATTGTTTATTATTAGTATAACTCTTGTTTTTGTTTTTTTTTACTATACCCCGACAATAATTTTCTTCATCTCTCCCTTTTTATAACCAAATATATTATTAGTATGACTAATAAATTACGCGTGTAATATCAAACAAAAAGCTGATTGCCATTATTTTTGTCAGGAACAATATTATCCTTACCTTGCGTATCTTGGTTCTCGTGACATTTTTGTTCGTAAAGTAGCACTACACACTAGGGATGGCAAATGTTTTAAAACACGATCTTAAAAATCTCGATTGTTTGATTTTTAATTGTTTAAAAATGTTTTAAAACATTATGACGTAATCATCATATATAAATAAAATTACGCAATTCGATTTAAATAAATAAAGTTATGCAATTCAATTTTTTATTAAATAATATTTCTTACGATTACTAATATCAAAAAAAAAAAAATTACCTTGAATAATTATGTCTCGTGGAAGACCTCCATTGAAATAATTTGTTTGAATTTTACAAAAATTAAAAGGTGTAATTACTGTAATGAGGACCCCCCGTTGATTTAATTGATCGATTAAAAGAACATTTAACTAAATGTAAAAAGCTTCTGAACCTTCCACGATTCTGGTTTTACAATGTCATTAAGTAATATTTGCAATACATATTGTAGGTCTTGACTTTCAATATAGTACGTACGTATTGAATGCAGAGTGCATATTGATAAAAAAATTGTCGGTCAAAATGCATTTTTCATAATTTCTTTTTATAATTCTAATTATAAAAGGGTATATTTATTCGATAAAAAAATTTAAAATAAATTAAATCAAAATTTATGACTCTTTCATAATTTCTTTACAAGTAACGAATAAATTCAA